GTTCATTTCTTGAATATAAACTTATCCCGATAGGGACACCTCAATTGAGTTCTGCTGCCGAAGTACCCAACAGGCAGAACACCCAGCTCACGATAGGAAGTTCATGCCACGAGCTTAAGATCCCGACCGTGATCTCGAGCTCGTTATGGGGATCCATACTCCATCCCCCTCGACACATCCCAACATGTGTCATCCATAACCAAGGTTGAGCATACATCTCCACTCATGGGAAATAAATTTTTTTCACAAAATAAACAAGTTAAAAACAACGACGCGCAGATAGCTAGCAAGCATTCAAAAAGAAACGACAAACAAATAGCTAGAAAACATCAACGAAAACATAAAGGCATAACAACAAAGTAAGAAAATTTATAAATGTCTACCACGGAGGCCGACATTGTCTAAATATTACAATAAGTGCAGGTGCGCAGGCCCTGAATACAAACAAACAAAATATCATAAATACTAGTCACTCCGAGGAGTGCTCGCTTTGACCACCACTTTGGGGAATCGGGAGGGGGAACCACACGACCATCAATGACTTGGGATAATACCTCAGCACCTTCGGTGTTAAGCCCTGGATTCAGCACGGACAGTTGGGTCATTGCAGTCTTGAAACCATCGATCAAAGCATCGACGTGATCCGACTCGAGGATCTGGATCCGAGCAACTAACTTCGCCTGAGAATGCAAGTCTGCGACTCCTTCAGGCTCTCTGTCCACGGTAAACATTGCAGCTTTCAAATCGGCAACCTCCTTTTCCAACCATTCCCTCTCGAGCAACAGGGAATCCCTTTCCTCATAAGCTTTGAAGATTTTTTCTTTCTCCCTCGTTAGCTCATCGGCATGCACACGAAACTTCTCCTCGCTCTGCTCGAGGGAACTTTTTAGCTTTTGTGTCTTCGGATGAAGAGTCGCCTTCTCCGACTCCAATTCCTTCACCAGTCCAGAGGAGCTAGATCCTTCACCAGCAAGGACAACAGCCATCTCCGCGACCTTCATCAACCCGACCATCCCGGAATCCAGGTGCTTTCTTCGACCCTCCTCATCGAGGCGTCTGATAATGTCAGACTCAACATTAGACACGATCAAAGGGAAACCCTTGAAGAAATCCTTTTCCATAAAACAAGGTGGAAGGTTGAAGGCTCGGGCATTCAACCCCTCCTTGACTGCACTTGCGAGTCCACCTTCTGGACGACTTCTTTTCTTGCTCAGAACAGTTGTGGGTTGTGCAGTGTCGCAGGAGCCCGATGACCCACTCGAACCATCCCTGACTGGCTCTGAGACCGGGCCAAGGCGTCTGGCCTGGTGCGGCTTCACCAACCTCTTATGATTTTTCTTTTCCTGGGTGAGCTTTAGTAGTCGTTTATGACGCTCCACCATGTTACCTGCGAAAGCAGAAACAATATCCTTGGATTAGTCTCATGAGAAGGACATAAACAAATAGCTCAAGAAGTAAAAATGAAATAAATCGCGCGAGAAGAAATCTAGAAGATTCATGGCTTACCCGTAGGTTCGACATTCCACGAGAGCCTTGGTGTTGATCGGGCGCGCGTCGAACATCGGTTCGCCATCTTCGTCGAGAATGTTGTGTCCTTCCCTCGTAATCCACCTCGAGGGAAAGAACCCGTCGACGAATCAAGTGAGGATACCGTAGGACTCTTCGTCATCGGCACTCATACTTCCAGGAGGAGGGTGGTAATGGTCAGGACTATGCTCGTAGTGACTCGAGCACCAGTGTATAGGGAATTTCGATAGTCGTCATATCTCTAGATTTCCCTCCTCGTCGTAGCATACCTCCCCATATTCATCCACTACTTGAACCAGATGAACACGGCGTCCACGACCGCCTGAGACGATGGTTGCATGATGTACCATCTACCCTTGAAGTCGCGAACAGAATCCATGCACATCCTAAACAGTCTCTTCGACTGTTTCAAGAAAACCCAACTATGTTTGCCACCCCTAGATTGTCGTTAGAGGTGGAAAACCCTGAAGAACAGAGGAATGGTCGCCCCGATACTTAGGAACCGACAAGTGATTTTGAAAGCCCGAAGGAAGGCAATCGCATTAGGATGTAATTGAGAGGGTGCTAGGCTCAAGTGGTTAAGCACGCCCATCTGAAATCATTGAAGGGAAAACGAAGCCCCAAGTCTTTTAAGATGACCTCATACATAGGGAAGCGATCCTCCTCGAACTCCATGCATATCCTTGTCATGGGGGTTGGTCGCAAGATCGTGAAGTTCCGAATAAAACCTTCCATGTCGCTGCCATGCTCGACGAAGGTATAGGCTTCCCTTCTGCCATAACTATAAACTGAAGCTATCTCTCGAGGCTCTGGCCCGTCCCAGGACAGCACAGGGTCGTCAACTGTGTCAACCAGATGGAGCCCTTCCTCGACAGTACTTGTTTCCTCGATATCTATATGCTCGGATGACTCTGAAGTATCGTCCATTTCACTTGTAAAGTAGAGGAAATCAGTGAATTCGACAACAAAATCGCATTCACCCCTCCATCGTAGCACGGGTGAAAAGGGGATGACTACTCCCAGAGTAGGTCGACAATCACTCGAGCAACGAGGAACTTACACGATCCACGATCAACACATAGAACTTAAACAAATCTCATAAGATCGCACAACGATGATAATAACGAAACACATAGTTCATGTATAACACGGGAAAATGATAAATATAGCGAGCATATTCATGGATGTTGCGAGGAACATATGAACTTTTCCATAAAAACTCATGAATTCACCGGGGAGCATTTTAATTCCCCGTGCAGAATTCATGAATTTCGCGGGGAACAGATGAATATCACGAGCTTGTTCGCAAACGTTACGTATGAATATATGAACGCCCCGAGCAAAAAAACCCCCGGTTGCGAAATTCTATAAATAATCATCAATAAAGCCAATCTAAACAACGATTACTGCAGAAAATACTTACTTGAACAGAGTAGAGGGAGAATACGCGACATACTTTGTAACGTTGACGGCTGGGAAAGGCAACAAACGGTGTTGGCAATAGAGAGAGGGGAGAGCGTGAAAAATTGAATGAAAAATTGGAATGTGGGAAATTGGCCCTAGGGCGCTATATATATAGCTAACGTGGAATATGAAGCGTCGCGTTGGGTAGCCCACCAACCGCCCTACTCCCTAGGCCATCATTACAGTCCCAAAGGTCACACCACGTGGCAAAACCTTGCCCGCTTTTCTCTCCCAGCGAGTCGAGGAACAACTGGAACGTTCCCCATAAAGCCTATTCCAACTTCTGCTCGAGTAATCACACATACCGATGACAATTTCCATCAACACAATAAAAGATCCCCGGTTGAGTTATGCTCCTCGTAAAAGCAAAGTTATACTTAAGTCATAACTCCCTTATCAGGAGCAACGACTTGGGGGACTCCTGTTCTGGGCTGAGCCTGCTCTTGGCTCAATTCCAAATGGGGCCCAACCCAACTATGTTGTTTAAGACTAGCTGACCAAATCTGCCATCGATTGTGTCGAGCAATAATCCCCACTATTCGAGAGGACACCGCCTCGTCACACGGGGATAAACCCAGGAAGATGCGAGAAGGAGGATCGTCGATCAAGAGGACCTCAATAGTATCCTCCAGGTTTCTCCTCGAGCAAGATCGATCCTCTCAGACGGCCTCATGGCTGGAGGGGATTATGCGCGACGGACAGAGGTACCCCGTGAGCATCCTCCTCGTAGGGTTTACTATTAACGCCTCTAAATATCACGGAGTCCATTTGACCCCGAAAAGATCGCATTCATATCCTCCTGATCATGCGGAGGAATTCATCCAGGTAGGAGACCACATGTTGGTCCCCACTACTCACGTAGAACCTGACAGTCTCCACTTTGATCCTGCTTGCCCAGCCCAATGAGGGGACCTTGACCCAGCGTTGAGAGCTATAAATATCCTCTCACTTGAGAGGGTCATATATTAATCACTTCTTACTCACTCTTACTTGCTTGCGTCATTCCGAATCTCACTTTGGCATCAGATTGTCTTGCAGGTACCCCTCCCCCACCTCTCTCACCTCACTTTCAACGTCTACTCGACGTAAGCCGTGACAGTCCATTATAGTCAGGTACGATCAAATATAAAAAAAAAAAAAAAAAAATATATATATATATATATATATATATATATATATATATATATATATATATATATTGGACATTAAAATTGAAAATTTTAAATTACACGATATTAAAATAATAGACATGTCATCGACTTTCAGTACAAAAATGTGAGAAAGATGTAAAAAAAACTTTTGAAAAACATTAAAAATAAAAATATAAAATAAACATCATTAAAAAATTATTATGGTGGTCAATTTTTTGAGTTTTAGATAGATCCTTTTAATCCCTAAATTCCATTCATAATATTTAGATTTTATTTTTACTTTGAGTTTTAAAACGATTCTTTTAATCACAATATTTGCCCTAAACATTTGCAAATTTGAAAAAAAAGAAACGTAGATAAAAATATTATTTAAATAAAACATAAAAGACCAAGTTAATGTCTTAAAAAACTAGTTTAAAACTTTAAAATAAAAATTAAATTACTTTTAAGATTGAATATAAATAAAATAAAAAATGCATTTCATCTTAAAGAAACTACTTTTAAAAAGTTCAACCTTTATTAAAGTATTATTTTTAATAAAAGAATAAAAAACTATTATGATTTCAATGTTACACTATATGGATGTTAGAAAGTAGTAAATGAAATTTAGTGCCTTAACGAAATCTATCATTTTATTTTATGCAGGCAACTTCATTGAAGTGTGGTGGGATAGTAGTAGCATGCACATTTGATCATCGCATAGCAGATGCTTATTCAACAAACATGTTTTTAGTTTCATGGGCCGAGATGGCTCATCATCCCACAACCATAACCACAACAACCAACAAACCATGTTTTGGTCGCTCTCTCATCAGCCCTCGTCGACATTCAACTTCCATCCACCCTTCTGTCGACAACATGTACATTTCAACTTCCAAACTCCCTCCTCCTTCAACTATCACTAAAAAACCATTACTCAGCCGTATATACTATGTGACCGCAGAAAATCTACAGCGCTTGCAGAAACTCGCTGGTGCGACTAGCAATGGTAATAGAAAGGCTACGAAGCTTGAGTGTTTCTCTGCATACTTGTGGAAGTTGGTTGCTCGTGCAGCTATAAAGGAGGATGGTAAAATGGGGATTTCTAAAATGGGTATAGTGGTTGATGGAAGAAAGAGACTTGGAGAAATGGTCAACTATTTTGGAAATGTTCTTTCAATACCTTTTGGTGCAAAATCTGTGGAGGAGTTGATTGATAAACCATTAGGGTGGGTGGTTGATGAGGTTCGTGAGTTTGTATCTATAGCAACAACAAAAGAGCATTTCTTAGGACTCATTGATTGGGTGGAAATGAATAGACCTATCCCTGGATTGGCTAAGATTTATTGCGGTGGCTCTAACGAAGAGCCAGCTTTTGTGGTTTCTTCCGGACAAAGATTTCCGGAAGAAAAAGTGAACTTCGGGTGGGGGGAAGTTGCGTTTGGATCTTACCATTTTCCTTGGGGAGGTGAAGCTGGTTATGTGATGCCAATGCCAAGTCCTTTAAGGAATGGAGATTGGGTTGTGTACATGCATCTTTTGAAACAACATTTGGAGATCATAGAGTCCAAGGCAGGCCACGTCTTTGTCCCCTTAACTTGGGATTATCTCAATCAGTGATGAATATCTTATATAAAAGTGTGCACTTAGGACTTTAAATATGTTTTTAATGTTGCAACAAAATGTCATATCACATATAGTTGCTAAGCTTGTAACTTATGCAACGATGTTTAATGAAGCTTGTAATTCACATCAGTTCGTTTATAGCTTTTCACATTTATATTTGGCATGCATCTCTCATCAAAGATGTGGATAAGTGGATACAATATTTTATTTGGTCAAATGATCTTGTTAAAGCAACCTTATGTTAGTCTATTAGCATAGATGCTGCTAGGAATGGTTGCTCTAAGTGTCATCAATAATGTTTGTTTTTTGGTGAAGCTCTTAGAGGATGCTCGTTGTCCGTTGAGAATGGTTGCTTCTGATTGTGAGGTTTCAGGCTGTTCATGAGGGTCAAATTCTGATGGGGAAGATACCTTTTGGCATGATGATGAGGAAGACGTTGATGTGTAGAAGGAAGAGCACGAGGAAGGATAAATAGGTTGTGCCCTAGCAGGTAGTATGGAAAAAGCGGATATGTTGGAGGATATTAAGGAAGTTAACTTATTTTCATCAGAGTATCTCGAACCCGTGAATCTATTTTTGGATTTTTTGTGGGATTCATTAAGTCACGTGAGCTTGAAGCAATTTAATTATTTTTTTACTCTAATAATGCAACTCTAAAGAATTCATATTGGGTTCCACAACTTTACTTTATATATTAATATTTTATTCATATTAAATTTTATATCATTTAAAATAATAATTTTAATTATTTAAATTAAATTGATATAAAATAAATAAAATTCAAATTAAAATTAGAATTTAAAATGATAATTAAAATTAATTTCAAATACATGGCATAAGAGTAACCAAAATTACCTCCATATGTATGTCATTCATCTTCAACAATCATGTTAAACTTAAAATTAAAAATACAATAATAATTAAAATTAAAGTAAAATTAACATTTATAAAAAATAATTGTTTATATAATTGTTAATATGAAATAAAAATTAATATATAAATTTTTTAAATTAAAGGAAATAAATTAAAAACAAGAAGAAGAAAGAAAACATATTTATTTTATTATTAGTTTGTTGTTTGTTAAACTTGACGAACGTTGCATGCAGTGGAACGGTTGACCACAGTAGCCAACTCTAATGGAAAGAAAATTTGATGCAACACATGCCACTTGGAGAACTAGAGAAAAAACTCTCCCTTGGAGTTACTCTTAAGATGTTAACTCTCCTAGATTAGAGAAATGTGGAAAGTTGGTGGTTGTGGGTACATATGTCACATCAGTGCAGAATGTGGATTTTTGAAAAAATAAACCTCTTGCTGATAAAGATGTCTGTGAGTCAGATGTTTTGGGGTCCTTGAATTTTAGTCAAAACACTCCTTTTAGTCTGACTTAATTGGGCCGAGAAAATGAAGTTGGGTTGTTAGGCTCTTCGCAAATGTGTTTGAATCCAGTGTTGGGTTCTCATCTAAATATTGTGAATGTTGGGTCTGTCTATTCCTCAAGATTTGTGATTCAGTCCAAGAGAAAGTGTAAACTTCTATCGGACGTGATGGAGTAATTGAGGGTTCCTTCCCATTCAATTGATTTTCTTCTGAAATCTATATTATCCCTATTTTCAATCCTTCATTTTTTGCACCTCTAACTCGGATTTCCTTAAAATCTAAGACGAAGTCTGTCTCATCAACTTCGTCTAAAGGGAAATTTATTAAGGATCAACCCACTGTTATGATTCTACTTCTAATGGAGGTGTTTAATAATGCTCGTTTCTGGACAAGGAGGATGATGGAGCTACACCAAAAATCTAGAAAAAGGCATCTGAATTAGGTATTATAGGAGGAGTTGGTGAAAGCGTCATATTATTAGAAATGAGGCGTCTGGAAAGCAGGGACAAACATGGATTTAATTAGAAGAAAGGTAACAAATTGGGGTCACTGTAATATTTCTTTAGTTTAACATTAGAGATATTGGAACTTCTCCAAAGAAACATGTTATTAGAAATCGTATTAGTTTAGGGAAAATAGATGTTTGTATGCTGCAAGAGACAAAGATGCAAAGTATGGATGATTCTATTGTTCAATCCTTTAGGGAGCAAGGTGAGGTTATGTGGAGGCCTAAAAAAGTTATTTGTCGATCGGGAGGTATGTTTCTTTCGTGGGATCCTTCTTTATTTGAGGTGATGCTGACTTATGAGGGGGTGGTTTTGTTGGAATTCAGGTGGCTTGGAAAAGGCTAACTATTTATTTTGTTAATATTTATTCTTCTTGCTTGATTCAAAGTAAAAGGCGTTTGTGGGAAGAGCTTACTAATTTAAAATCTTCTTTTCCGTCCGGAGAATGGTGTGTCAGGGGAGATTTTAACGCGATAAAGAGAAAGGCTGAGAGGAAAGGTACTAAGTCCAAATCCATTTTTTTTCTAAAATGCAAGAATTTGCAAAATTCATCAAAGATATGGACTTGGTGGATTTACCGACTTTGGGGAATACATATACTTATTTAATCTGGGCAATGATTCAATGAGTCGGATAGATCGTTTCTTGATATTGGGGGGGGGGGGGGGGTGTTTGATAATGGAGGGTAAAGGTTCAATCTATTGATAATCGTAGCATATCGTATCATTGACCTATTTCTATTAAATCCAGTAAGTTGAATTGGGGCCAGAAGTCGTTTAAATTTTTTCCGGCGTGGATTGAGCGTCCTGGTTTTTTACCTTTGATTGAAGAGATTTGGTCTTCCTCGATTTTTCAAGGGCGTCAATTGTTCTATTTCAAGGAAAGGTTTAAGGCTCTTAAGGTTCGGTTGAAGGTGTGGAATGCAAAAGTGTTTGGTTTCCTTGATTTACAAGTTGATTGTGTTGTGAAGGAGCTAAAATGTAACACCCTAATTTTTTCATTTAATTATTTAATTAAGTTAGTTCACTTAGCGAAAGATAGCGAGAGTACGCTTAGCGAGCAGTAGCGAGCAGGTCGCGAGTAATGACTGAATGGACATAACTTTGGCTCCGTAAGTTAAAATTGAGTGTGTTCAAAGTGTTAGAGAGCTAACGCACAAAACTATTGATTGATGTCAGTATTTGAGTTATTTGTTGTATGATTACCGAGTGCCATGTGAAAAATGATTGTAAGCAATTTTATAAATTAATCAATGAATGATGATTATGCAAAATGTGTCAATGATGTTGTGATGAGTGGCTAGGTGTGTTACAGAGTTCTTGTTGATATATGAGTATATTTGTGTTGTTGTTGTTGTTGTTTGTGAATGATAGTTTGGTGCGGGATTATCGCATAGTTGTTGTTTTTAGGCGGTGTGGACCTTAAACGTTTTTGTTGTTGTCGAGTTGTTGAGTAATATATGACATGCATTCATATATCGTTGTAGTTGAGAAAGAGGTGAGTTTACAAGTTCGGTGTGAGACTAGTAGCTTATCCCAAGCTCGGCGTTGGGGCTTGGAGCTTGGTGTTTGAGCTCGGTTCTAATAATAAACCATTGTTTAGTGGACGATATCACTAATAAACCTATGATGTAAAATTTGTATCACATGCATATGCATTGAGTTGCATAGTTGATTGAGTTGCATAGTTGAGTCGAATTGTATAATGAATGATGTATTTGAATTGTGATTATGTTTAGTGTTACAAAGGTGTGAAAATGTGCTTGTTGAGTTATTCTGAATTATGCGTAGATGTATGAATGTTCTACTGTGCATTTTCTATCGTGGATTTGTTGAATGTGAATTCTCACCCCTTTGTTGTTGTTGTTGTTGTGGCCTATGCTAAAGTACATATAATTAGGTAACTGGATAGATGTTTAGAGCTGGAGGATAGCGATAGGCTATTCTTCTTTTAGTTTCATTTTGCATTTTAGATTGCGTGATATGATTCTGTAACACTGGGTGGGGGCGAGCGTTATTTTATTTTGTTTATTATGTTGTAGAGTTGGATGTTATACTCTCAATGTTATTTTTGGCTTATGTTGTTTTACGAAGTTGGTTACCGCAATTGTTTGAAGTTTAATAAAGTATTGAGTTATTCATACATGCTTCGTATTATGTTATTTGATAAATTCCATTGTGGTGATACCCTAAGTGAATGTGAGCATGCGATGACAAGTGTTGCATGTTTTAAACGTTAAGTCAATATGCTATAAAACAAGATGTGAATTATGATGTGTGTGACATCCTAATATGTTCAGTGTTTTACTCTAATTTTATCGCATTATTGCACGTGAGAAATGATCTAGATTCTCTAGTGGCAGCAGTTGCGAATGTTCCAGTTGCAGATTTTGTTCAAAGCAGATTGAAGTCAATGCTCTGGTTTGGGACAAATTAAGTGTGCGAGAATCTTTGATTAAGCAAAAGTCCAAATGTCATTGGTTGAAGGATGTTGATCAGAACTCTAGATTCTTTCATTGGTTCATGAAAATGCAGTTTCGTTGTAATAATATTGCAGGATTTAATAAAGGAGGCATTATTGTAAATGATGTAGAAGTTGTTAAGAAGGTGGCTTTCGATCACTTCAGAGATTGTTTTTCGAGAGCCTTTCCCTAACTAGCCTTTGTTTGAGGAGGTGTCATTTAATCATCTCTCTCATGAGAACAAACTTGGTTTGGAAGCTTCTTTATCTCTATAAAACATGAATGATGTTATTTGGAGTGCTGCTAATAGGAAAAGCCCCGGTCCTGATGGCTTTACCGTGGAATTTTTCAAAGCTAGCTGGGATATCATTAAACTTGATATTTTTTATTGTATTTCTGAATTTTTGGGTAGGGATTTCTTCTTAATGAAATTTCAGCATCTTTTATTTCTTTTATTCCAGACTATCATAATCCTCAAAGCCTTAACAACTACCGTCTGATATGTTTAATCAGTAGTATCTACAAGATTATTTCGAAGTTGTTAGTGGGGAGGTTAAAGGGAGTGTTGAACAAGCTTGTTTCAGCATCTCAGTCTGCTTTTGTTCCTAATAGAGGTTTACATGATGGTGTCCCGGTGCTTAATGAAA